CATGTTTGTATACCTTGGTGTACTACCACCACAATCAAAACACTGAAACGTTCAATCAGCATTAAGATTGCTCCTCTATTATCCTTCATGTCCCCCTTCACACATACCTCTCTCCTCAACCCTCTACTATTCCTAACCCCTGACAACCACTTGCTTGTTCTCTCTCCAGTTTTCTTTTTTTAACTTTGAGAATATCACGTAAATTTTTGAGAATATTATATAAATCATAAGCATGCAACTTCTGAGATTTTTTTCACTCCCCATGATACCCTTGAGATCCATGTAAATTGTTGCATGTATCAATACTCTGTTCTTTTTTATTACTGAGTAGTATCATTGGCTTCCCAGGAGGCTCAGTGGTAAAGAACCAACGTGCCAAGCAGGAGATGCAGGTTCCATCCCTGGGTCAGGAAGATCCTCTGGAGTAGGAAATGGCAACCCACTCCAGTATTCTTGCCTGGAACATCCCACAGACAGAGGAGCTTGGTGGGCTGCAGTCCATGGGGTTGCAGAGTTGGACACAACCGAGCGATTGAGTGCAGCAGGCATGCATGCACATTCCACTGGATAGATGTATCGCAGTGTGCTTAAGCAGTTATCACTAAAAAATACTTTTGTCATTTCCAGTTTTGCTCTATTACAAATAGAGCTACTATGAAGATCAATACACAGGTTTTGGAGTGGACATATATTTTCACTTTTCTGGGATAAATATTCAGTAGTCCAGTTACTGGGTCATATGGTAAGTATACATTTAATTTTACAAGAAACTGCCAAAGTATTCTCCAAAGTGGCTGTGCCATTTTACTTTTTCATCAGCAATATATGCAATATCCAGTCCTATGCATTCTCATTAGCATTTAGTATTGCTATTATTACTTTTTAGGTCTTCTAATAAGTGTAGCCTCATTGTGGCTTTAATTTGTTTTTCCCTAACAATATTATATCTTTTCATGTGCTTACTTTCCATCTGTATATCTTCTTTGGCAAAATGTCTGTGCTTTGGCCCATTTTCTAACTGGAATATTTGTTTACTCTTGTTTTCTTTATATATTCTAGACACAAATCCTTTGTGAGATGTATGGTTTGCAAATCCTTCTGCCAAGTCTGCCATTGCTTTGTTCATCTTAATAGAGTGTTTCTCAGAGAAAAAGTTTTAATTTTGATTAAGTTCAATTTATCCATTTTCATTGCTATGGACTATGCTTTGGGTGTCATATACAAGCACTCTTCACCTAACCTTGCCCTGAAGATTTTCTCTTACATTTTCTTTCTGAAGTTATACAGTTTTACTTTTTATATTTAAACCTATGATCTATTTTGAGCTAATTCTTATATAAGGTATGTATAAGCTGTCTAAAATAAATAAATCAGTAATTTTTCTGAATATTTGTATAGAAGGTGCCTTAAATCATTTAATTTAATTTACTTTCTTTTTGTCTTTCATGCCATTATTGTCATGTTTTAACCACATATATTTTAAACCAAAAAATTTTTTTATTACTTTTAATATTTTATTTTAATATCTTATTTATTTTAATATTTTTATCCTTTCTAGTGTGGTTCATTTCTTTTTGTATGTCTCTGTTTCCATTTGGAGTCATTTTCTTTCTATTTGGATAGCTTTCTTCAATATTTACTTTACTGCTGGTATTAAATGATCTATTTTTGTCTGAAAATACATTTAATTTTTCTTTAAAAGATTTTTTGCTGAATATAGAATTATAAATTGGCAATTATTCTTTTAGCATTTTAAAAAATGCATCAATCTGTTGTTTTCTGACTTCTGTAGTTTCTGTTGAAAAATCAGCATACCAATCATACTATTGCTATTTTTAAAGTAACATAATTTTTCTCTGGTTATTTTTGGGTATTTTCTGTTTGCCTTCGATTTTCAGCATGTTTGCTATAATGAATCAAGTTGTGATTTTCCTTCTATTTATCCTTCTTAGGGTTTGAAAAACAGTTTGAATCTGTAGTTTGATAGTTTTTGTCACCTTGCAAAATTCTCAGCTGCTAGCTCTTTGATATTGTTTCTGCCTCAAAATCTTTCTCTTTTTCTTCTAGAACTGCAATTTACAGTAGGAATTTTTCATCAGGTCTCAAATGCCTCATGCTGTTTTCTAAATTTTTACATCACTTTTCCTCTTTGAGCTTCAATATGTATGAGTTCTACAGTTTTCTAAATCTTCTCTCCTGCTCACAAACTAATCTATTAATTTCTTAATTTCAGTTACTGTATTTTTGTCCTAAAATTTCCCTTTGATTCACTAATATAGATTCTAATTCTCTGAGGACACTTTACAACTTTTTATCTATCTTGAACATACTAACAATAACTATCTTAAGCCAATATTCCATAACTCCAATATCTGGATAATCTGTGGATCTCCATTTATGGAGTGATTGCTTATTTCTTTGTTTAGTTTACCATCATTTGATCCTGTCTCTTGGCATAACTGGAAATTTTTTTTTTTTTACTGATTTCTGGACATGGTGTGTGAAAATTTGTAGAGGCTTTTGATGATGTTGTCTTCCTCCAGAGCATATTTAACTTTCTTTTGTTAGGCAGTTAAATATAGGCAGATGCTGCTGCTGCTGCTAGGTCACTTGTCAGGTCTGACTCTGTGACTCTATAGACTGTATTCTTCCAGGCTCCTCTGTCCATGGGATCCTCCAGGCAAGATGACCCTCCTACAGACAGGGGTTTAAAAGTGCTTCAGGCTGAATTTTATGCTTTGTGTAAGCTACACTATTTATGTTTTCCTTCGTAGAATGTCTATGAAGAGTATTTCATTAAGTGTCTCAATGCCCCTCCTTGACAGGATCTCAATTCCATTTTTTTTTTATCCCCTCCACTGTAAGACTCCTGAAATCACTTTTCAGTTTTTTTATTTAATAGCAGATATTTTATATCAATACTTGTTTTCTTGGTCACTGACTTGGAGAATGTATAGTTCAGAAATCAGAAAATATCTTAAAATTATGAGTAAAATATCACATTTATTTTTTCCATGATTTCTATTTCTCTGGGAACTTGATCTCTCTAGTCTGGATACCTTAGAAGTTTTGACTTATGGTTTTTGTCTCCCCAGTAGTGAGACTGAAGCACGCTCTGGATTGCTGCTCTTTGCTCCTCTGATTCTATTACTTTTACTGAGAATTGGCAATTTCCCTCAAGGAGAAAAAAAAAACCCCCAAACTGAGCTATATGTAGAGGTCATGTCAATGTAGCTTTCTTCTAACTGGGGATTGGGTCTCTCAAATCCTCATTGTCTTGGCTGATGTCTGATGTTTTCAAGTAGCTAATTTTTTGGTATTTTGTCCATTTTTTTATTTAAATGAATTTTGTCAATGGCCTAGTGCCAGAAAAGTAAGAAAATACTCAATGCTCTGCTCCCAGCTCAACAATTCTTATTAAGGGGTCAAGATTTGTCTTTATAATGGCTAGGCAGATCATTTTTTTAAAGGTTTTTTGAACAAGTAGATTCAATTCCCAGTGACTGACCCAGGATTCTCAGAAACCATCATGGATAAACCTTGCTGTCATATGTACTGAAAGGTAACATTTGGAATCAGATGTGAGCCAATTTGGAGGTACTTTCTTAGAGTTTTGCATGCTCCTCTGTAACCACTGTTTATCATGAGAGTAATTCAAGATACTCAAACTCACTACTAAATGACTTATTGGCATATAAACCTTCTAGCTTGCCTCTTAGAACCATGAAGACTAGAATGACTCACATTAGTTTTGATTTGGAAAGCATCACTCACCTCACAAATTTCTGACTTATCATATACTGACAACTGAAAATACAAAATTTAATGATAAAAGGAGAGCCCTAAAACTGTATCAGATGACTATAGAGCCAACGAAACCCAGGATAAACAAAGCATTCTGTTTGGATCACCACAGGTTTAACTTTTTGTTATCTCTTCCTTTGCTTGAGATATATAACCCTTCTGGATGCTAACCTAATTCACTATAGGGATTTTTATGTTCTGGTTTCCTCTTGAACAGAAACAATATCTTTTCATCTATTGTTAACCTATTGCTTATCTTATTCCTTCCCCAATCTTTTGGACACTTGCTCATATATTCTCTGATTATCATTTCAATATTCTGGGCTCTACTTCATAATGACCCCCTCACAAATGAATTTGACATACACAGTATTATGAGATCTTTATTCAGTTTATTTCTCTCTGCTTCATATTTGACTCCTAAGAAGATTATTTTTGTGTAATCTCTTTTAAATCATTTATACAGTGGTTTCTGGTCTCCTTCAAGAATTCTCTTTCCAACATGAAAAATTCCTCCTAATTATGGTAGTTCAGTTTTAAAGTAAATTTTTATAAACCCTACTCAAGACTCTTTGAAAATACATACAAATTATATTGAATAATTACTCTTTATCCACATAAACTGATTTAATTATTCTATTGATTGATTAGTAAAATTTCCTTTATAATAATGATACTATAAAAGGAATCATCTGTCTGAAGTATGCAGTAGTTTCATTTAGATTAAGGTGTCACCCTTTTCCCAGGTAACCAGGCAAGCCCTACTTGCTTGTATTTCCTGGGATCTCCTCAGAATTCCAATCCATGCAAGAGGACCAGCAATCTTCTGGCATAGCGATTACTGCAAACCAGATTTCACATTCTAGCCACCTTTTTCTTTTGTTCCCTCTTGAGATTAATCAAGACACAAAATGGATCTTATCCCATGTCAGCAATTTATTTGCATCTAGATTATTTGGTCTAGAACCTTCTGAATATTTGGCCTAGAACATTCTGAGTATTTGCCACTGTTGCCCTAATACAGCTCACCTGTCTTCATTAAAACATTTTGAAAAACTCTCCTCAAAGCTATTCTCAGCCCAAAGAACTCATTTATTAATTTATTTTTCTCCCCACTTCCCCCCAAACTAACTTTCACGGATTCCCTCCCAACCTCCTCATTTCTCCTACTGTCGTTGTTCTTCAGCTTTACTTACCCAGGTGACTGATGGCTTCCTTGTCCCAAGGCCAGGTGGCGGCGCCTGCGAGGTCTTCTCTTACTGAGCTGGCGAAGTAGACGTTGAGGAAGTGGGTGCTGTTGAGCTGCAGTGCCTCCTTCAGCTCCTTCACACTCATGTATGCCCTGGGGAGCACGCGAGAGAGGAAATGTCACACTGAAGGATCATAGACAAGAACAGAGCCAGATAGAATCAGACTCTGACTTCCCAACCATCATTGCCTTTTAGAGGAGAAGGGCAAAGAGGCTGAGACCAGGTGTCATGGTTCTCTCAAAAAAGACACTAGTGCTCATTTAGAATATTTATTCCAAGATAAATAATAACTTACCTTTTTTGGCACCATAATATTTATATGAATGCTCAGTATCTGACATCATACTCAGTTCCCTGCTTAACACCCAGATTATTTCTTCAAGATAAACCCAATAATACTCTTAATTCTATGCCCTGAGAATTACTTTCCTATCCACGGTGAATAAGGCCTTACAACTCTCAATCTCTTGTTCTTTCTATCACACTGCACAATCATTACTATAAGAAAATTGATTAAATCTCTATTTCAGCATCTGCTTGCTTTGGGCATTTTTTAAAAAGGTAAATAGTAACCAGAAAACACAAAGTTAAAGAGGAAAGAAAGAAATGAGTTATAGGAAGGAAAGGATAACATAAAGCTACTGCAGGAAATATTAGTTTTATATATATATTTTTTCTCTTTCTAGTACCTTAATCCATAGACTCTCTAACCCTACTCTGACTACTTTATACTCACTGAGTATCTCTATTGGTGGCCTTCAAAGCACTAGGTAATATTACGTTTGTACTTATTTGCAGACTTAATAGTCTATTAAAACCACATGCCCCATGGCCCATAAAAAGGGGGAAACAAGCATTCGATCTCTTTTAAAGCTCATATATAGTCAAAGACCTTCATTTTCCTGACATGAGTGAAACTTAAAACTTCACCATGAGCAAACAGAGCCTCATCATTCTCAATGGAGAGCTATTTTAAGAAAGAACAACTAAACCAAAACTGAGTCGCCCCTTGGAGTCACTGGAAATGCCACTCCAAAAATAGCAATGATCCTATCACAGCTTCAACTATGCAGACAGCTCTCTCAACATAGTTGAAAATATCCTTTATAGACTGATGCTTTATGCTTACTACTCTGGTAGGCAAGCTGCAGACACTGAAATCACTCAACCCCGAAGCTCATGTGAGAACAGCATGACCCTCTTCTCTTGCTTGCTCTGCCTCCCAACTACGCTGTTGATGCCATCTATTTAATCCACATGTAGGATATATCGGCAAGGAGTATCCAAGAAATAGAGATCCCAAAGAAGACTGTATTTGTGTTCTTTGGCACAGAACCAAAAATAAGAATAAGGAAGCACAAAAAGACTTTGCTTTAAAACCAAAAGTACTTGGGAGAAAGGGGGTTTTAAAATATCCTTTCTTATTGACTTATACTATCTTGGAAAAATAGTTCTCCTCCCCCAAGAAGCCATCCAAATTCCATGAAGTGATGTCAGATGTGGTCAGAGGGATATTCCTTTTTCTGCTTTCCTGGAGACTCAGTGTTTTTTGAATTGTCGCCTGGTTTTACACAGACAATTAGTCACATTCCTTTTCCTTTTCTCCTTTATTAAAAACAATTACAATTTCCTGTATTGACAAATCGATGGTTTGGAGCTATGATGACATCAAGTAACTCTTCAACATGGAGATGTTCTAATCAGTCAGATGAAAGAAGAGGCAGGGTGGATAGGAGGAAAGAGAGAAGAAAGAAAAGAAAAGGAAAAAAGAAATGATTAGAAAAGAAAGAAGAGGGATCAGTGACTGAGCCTTCACATAGGTGGGTATCAAGGAAGAAAAACTGCACCCTCTGTTTCTTTTCAGAGAGCCCATTAAAATTAGGAATTGGGAACTTGACAGTTTTCTCTCTTTTCTCCTCCCTCACTTTCCCCAAATCCCCCTGTTCCTGGCATGGTTACTTGGGCTACCTGTGTGTTCCTGGCTTCTCTGTCTGCCACTTACCAATCTTGGCCACCATCCTTCTGTTCTCCCTCAACCCAGTAGTTCCAGTAATTTCCCTTGAGCCACTCTCCAAGAGGCCTCCTTCTCCAACACCAACTCATCTGTTGGGTCTACTCATCTCCCTTTTCTTCCTTGCCCATCCCTCTCTCCAGCCATAAATTACTCTTCCAGATGAGAGTGTTTATGTAATGTTGGTGGCAAACTGGGTGCGGTTTCTCTAACTCCTGCACTCCAAAAAGACAGGTAGAAGTCAGCAAGTATAAGGGAAAAATACATTTTAAAAGCTAGAGACAGTAGGAAACAGTCATTAATGCAAACGGTAGAGGAGAGTCTTATTTTGTTGGAGACAAACATTTTTGTCCAGATTATTCCCTAAACCAAAAAAGGGTAAAATTGTAGATATCCAAAGGGTGTTCACTGTGCATGTTAGACTGCCTTACCTATTATAATACATGTATGCCATTTCAGAACTTAATCTCAGCTAATAACATAAATGTCTTAGCTTGTCTGCTAATATGACCAGAGCCTAGCTCAGGCCTACAGTGCAGAAAGTGGACATTATTCAAAGATTCAAACCTTAACATCTTGCTTCAGAAATAATTTATTAAGAGATAAACTTGTCATCCCAAATATCTTAATATTCAAAGAGGAAATGACATACATAAGTGTCATAAAATGCATAGGATCATGAACTGACTGGGACCAATATACATAAATGTCATAAAAAGCATTGGCTCATGAACTGACCAGAATTATCTATGACAAGAAAGATGTGTTCAGTCGCTCAGTCGTGTTTGACTCTTTGCTACCGCATGGATTGTAGCCAACCAGGCTCCTCTGTCCATGGGATTTCCCAGGCAAGAATACTGGAGTGGGTTGCCATTTCCTCCTCCAGGTGGTCTTCCTGGCCCAGGAATTGACCCTGCATCTCTTATATCTCCTGCATTGGCAGGCAGATTCTTTACCACTGTGCCACCTAGGAAGCCTGAAAAGAGAGATGAGCTGTATTAATCTACTTAATTTCTGCCAAGATCTCCCTTTACTCATCTTCTCCACACTCTAGATTGAAATAACTCGCCATGAACTTCTCTCTGAGGGCTCAGACAGAGCAAAGTGAAGTGTCACCTTGATCTTCATAAACAGTGTCTCAAAACCAAGCTTTCCTTGAGGCTGACATAGCAAGTTGTTCTGCCATAGCTTGAGTGTATTATTTCTGGCATACCTCCTGAAAGAATGCACACTTGTTTCACTATTTTATCACTGTCACCTACTGATTTGAGATTAACCATTGTCCAGTGTCCAGCCCACCACATTCCTTTGTCCCCCAGATGATTTCTGTTGGGCTCCATAACTGCTGACCCCTAGCCACACTCTAGTATCTAACTGTCCATGCAAGTCCCAACTCTGCTTAGTTTCCGACTAAGTGGAAGAATATAATAATAATGCCTCTTGTGTTCTAGTTTAATAGTCAGTCAAATAGCTCCCTTGTAAACTGAGAGAAGTAATTTAGGCCAGAAGGAAGAAAAAGATCCTGAGCTGTCTGAAGGAAGTTGAATGAGCATCAGAAATTCTCATGCTAAAAAACAAGACATAAAAAGATGCATGCGTGTGTGCCCTAAGACTGGGACGCAGGGCACTGTTCCCCACAGGCAGAGCAAGCCCCCTCCAGAGGAAGATGCTGACTGCTCTCCACAGGTGCTCAGGCAGCCTCCAGGAGAACAAAACCAGATGCCCCCAAGGGCCCTCAGCCAATTCCCCTCACAGAAACAAGCTGGGCCAAATCTTAGATATTTGGGTTTGGTTAAATCTAAATCTTTCTGTCATTATTGTCCATCAGTTGGCTCTCAACACAAAATACGCAGAATGATTTCCCTCTGCCACCTTCATCTGCTAACCACTTTGCCAGTTCTGCTTCTTTCTCTGGGTGACTATCCCCTTTGACCTGCTCTCCCAATCCTTGGGCTGTTCTCACACCATAAGGCTTACAGGTCCCCAGATACTAACTAGTGTTCTAGTTAGTATTCTAGTTAGAATTAGAATTTAGAATTCTAGAATACTAGAATACTAACTAGTGTTCTCCTAGCTGCTTAGGGAAACTTCAAAAACTTAGTTTTTTCTACCTTTGTCAAAGTGCTCCTGCTATTGTGCACATGGCACTCTAATATGCCACTGTCTGCTTTCTATTTTCTTTCATTTTCCCATCCCCTGGTTGTCCCATACACATCAAGGGCTTCACAGTCTGACTCACTGCTGCTGCTGCTAAGACACTTCAGTCGTGTCCGACTCTGTGCGGCCCCATAGACGGCAGCCCACCAGGCTCCCCCGTCCCTGGGATTCTCCAGGCAAGAACACTGGAGTGGGTTGCCATTTCCTTCTCCAATGCGTGAAAGTGAAAAGTGAAAGTGAAGTCGCTCAGTTGTGTCTGACTCTTAGTGACCCCATGGACCGCAGCCCACTAGGCTCCTCCATCCATGGGATTTTCCAGGCAAGAGTACTGGAGTGGGGTGCCATTGCCTTCTCTGAGTCTGACTCACAGTCTTTCCTTTTATCCAGCTCCTAGAGTCCCTTGAAGAAATGTCAACACTGATGTGAAACATCCACTGAAAACAGTCTTATCTTTCACTCCCTTACTTCCAATGACCTTTGCACAACCATTCTCAATGTCACCCTTACTCAGATTGATTTTTTATTTCTTATTTAATGTGGATCTTTAGTGGCACTTGTCTAAATTATTTATGGTCAATCTCCTTTTCAGGACTTATTCAAAATCTTCACCATTCTTTCTTGCCCCTTCTCCCTCACCAACCTCGGTCTCCTCTGACTCTTAGACAAGCATGCCTCTTTCTTTGATGATAAAATGGAGGCCACTTATCATGAGCTCTATCACTCCCTTGAACAAAGCTAGTGGAGGTGATGGAATTCCAGCTAAGCTATTTCAATTCCTAAAAGATGATGCTATTAAAGTGCTGCACTCAATATTGCCAGCAAATTTGGAAAACTCAGCAGTGGCCACAGGGCTGGAAAAGGTCAGTTTTCATTCCAATCCCAGAAAGGCATTGCCAAAGAATGTTCAAACTACCATACAATTGC